CCATTGTTGGTATTAAATTATTTAATCACTGAAATAATTTAACAAAATTTTCATTTCATCGTTCGTCTTTTGTCAAAAGAAAAAAAAATAAATTTAAGAAAAAACAAACACGCAAACAAATAATTTCAGCTTATCGGCAAATATAACAAAGCGAAATGAAAAAGAAAGGTGCCAATGTTTAAATTTTATTTGAAACAAAAAAAAATCCTATCAAGAAAAAAAAGGAAAATAGAAAGTTTTCTGCAAATTATATTTTTACATGATCGATGACTGTTCTAATAAAAGAAAAGAGAAATAAATAATTTTTAAAGTGCAAAATAGAAAGATCAACAAATAATGCAGCAAAAATTAGTTTCAAAATGAAAACTGATTGCGTCATCGTCACTATTATCATTATCATCTGTGTGGGATTATAATAGCAATAATGATAGTGATAATGACAATAATAATAATAGTAAAAATAACAGTAATAAAAATAATGATAATAATAATAACAGTAATGATAATGATAATAATAATAATAATGATACCAATAATAATAATAAATAACAATAAAAATGCGATATAACATGATGAATTGTTAAAATGAAAAATACTGCTCCATCGACTGATAAGTGTTACACATTGGATTAAGATTCAATGAGGAAAAAAACAAAACCCTAAAGCCTGGAACGTCAGGTGTGCTATGCAGTAATGGTAGTAATAATCCCTTCATCTTTTTTTCCTTTTGCTTTCTTTCTTTTTCTTTTCGTTATATTCTACCATCTGCATTGTTTATTAAAAAGAATTGCTTTCTCCAAGCACTTTGCAAATTTCCAAAACTATCAATTTCAAAACATCACATAAATCATGGAAACATAGTTTTGATATTCATTATAATTTAATTCTTCTTTTTTTTGATCACTATGATAAAAATAAATAAAAATCACTTCGTTCTTTTCTTTTTTATCTCTCTTTTTAGTTTTCTTTTTTTTTCCTAAATAATTTTATATACAAATGATTGATTATATATACATATGTTGACGTAGCACATGGTTGATTTGATAGCATATTACATCCTTAAAAGCCAACTATAACCTTGGTTATTTTACACATATATATATATATATATCCAACTAGGCTAAGTATATCAACCATCATTTCACTTTAGCATCCTTCTGCATAATGTTAATTTTCAGCCCATAAGCAATCTCTAACATATCTTTCCCAAACATCTTTTTTCCTCATCTTTCTCTTCTTTCATTTCACGAAATAAATACGAATTTATAAATCTTGAAATGATTGACTTATGTATGTTTTTTTTTTTCCCTTTCTTTTTTAATTGAAATTCACATATCTACGTTTATATGAGTGTATGAATTATTTATATATGGTTTTATAAACAAAAAAAAAACATGATATATGAAAAAATGCTTTATAAATTTTATATTATCTGTAAATTTTTCTAAATAACTGATGAGCAAAGGATGACAGCACAACGAAGAAAAAGAAGAAAAATTATGAATTATGAAAAAAATCAAAAAAAAAAAAGAAAATGTGACCTGATTTAGTGGACACTTTAGGGCTTTTCCCACAAGATACATTATAAATTCACCAAAACAGAAAAAATCTAACCCATAAAATGAACTGTATTTAATTTTTAACATTAAAATAAAACGAAAAAAAAAGAAAAAAAAAGAGGAAAATGTCACCAAAATATTTAAGAATCATCACTAGGAAAAATGATTTGTCAAGATAATAAAGTATGAATAAGAGAGGAAGTGCGATCCCAAATTTTTATCTTCTCATTTTCTACTTCTATTTCATCCTATCTTTCCTCTCTCAAGTAGAATAAATAATAATTGTACCAAAAACTTAAATGTTAAAGTTTTTTAACTTATTCGTAAATTACAAGTAAAAGAAGTTGGTACTACATAAAATTAACAATATATCAACCTAATATTCTAAAGAAAGACATAATATTCTACAATTAGTAACTTTGTACAGTACACTACAAAAGTAAAATAGTAGTATTGCAAAATAGACGATCAGTACATATGATATTATTAGTGTAGTACCGATTATTACACTGTCATTAAATCACCGGTATAATATTACCATTAACTTATTATTATTGTTATTGCCATCAATAAAATTAAGTATTACTAAGATTAAATACTACTTGAAGCAAACTGTTAGCGTTCAATATTAACAAATACTTTAATATCAAACAATATTTCAGTATTAACCAATTATTTCAGTATCGTTTAGATTTTTTAAATTCCGTGGTTTAGAATTCGTTTAAAAAAAATCACTAATTAATATTTTGAAAAGAAATGGAAAGGAAAAGAAACCGAAAAACCAAAAATGAATATAAAATAGCATGAATACGAGTAAATTGTTATTTCTTGCCTAACCAGTCATTCATTCCTTTTTTTTTAAAAAAAATTTTGTTTTCTCATTATTCTTACCCGATATTACTTCTTTTCTTTCTTTTTTCTTTCTTAACTTCTTTAATATGTGAATACATGTCTATATATTTTATAAGTACTTGAAAAGAAAACAGAAAGCAAAAAAAAAAAAAAAAAAAAAGAAAGAGAAAAGGATGTTAGAATATAGGAATAGGAGGGAAATAGAAAGAGAGGCAAGTAATTTAATCAAAAATAGGTTAAATTAAGTCTTCTTTTTATCTTTTATTCTATTAGTTAATTAAATTAAAGAAAATATTCGTCTGTTTCATACATCCCACTGGATGTATCGATAAATGAAGCACGAAATTTAGGAACAAAGTACAAGATGGATAACAAACATCTGTCTCAATTAGTGAAAATGACATAAAACATTGCATTGATGGTATCTCAACCGATCAGAGCTGTTAAGCTGATGGAATGTATAAAGTTTTGCTTTGTTTTGTTTTGTTTTTGTTTTTCCTTTCTTTTTTCTATATATTTATATATATATATATATATATATATATATATATATATATATTTATATATATAATATATATATATATATATATATATATATATATATATATATATATATATATGAGACATTATGTAATTAAGTATAATGTATGAAGATGATCTGCTATGATAGTAATATTTTGATAAGTTCCAAAAAATGTGTGACATCAACAAATTATTATCATTAGCAGTAATAGTAACAGCAGCAGCAGCAGCAATAATAATAATAATAATAATAATAATAATAGCAGTAATTGTTGTTTTTATTATTATTATTACTATTGTTGTTGTCGTAGCAATACAACTTTAGTAATGTTTATTTCAATTCTTCAACCAATATTATCCAATTGATAAGAAAAAAGTTACAAAATAATTCTTCATTAATTATATTATTATTAATTATATTATTAGTTAAATATGTTATGAGTAAATTATGAAATAAATGATGACAAATTGTATTTACATATGAATATAGTCTATTTGAAGAATAACACTTAAATTGAGGATAACAAACTGATAAATAGTTGCTGATGAATAAATGCATCATGAAAATGATGCTAAAATATAAATGAATAGATATAGGAAGTGACAATAATTGGATGAACTTGAAATAGAATATTAGAATGGGAAGGGAGAATTTATTCAAATCAGTTGCACTTTATCAGATTACTTCGAAATAACTCCTTTTAAGGAACGATTTGTTGTGATAATATTGATGATAATGATGAGAAGGAGGAGGTGGAGAGATGAGAAAATGAATAACGGGTAGTAATGTATATATAAACATATATAAGGGGTTAAGTTTTTAAATGTGGGGAGGGGGATAAGGAGGAAAGCTAGGAGGAATAAGAGGAGGAAGGAAGAAAAGGAGGAAAAGGAGAGGTAATTTATAGAATTCGTTTTCTTCCTTTCCACCTTTTTATCACAACTCTTATTTCTTCCTTCCTTCTTCATCCTTAACCCCTGCACTATCACAATCATCACATCACTTTCCTCTTCTTAGTATCCTTTCGTAAGATTCATCCGAACTATCGATTAATATTTTCTTCTAGTATACAGAGTATCTTAGATATATGTTCCAACAACGACCCTAGGCTTACTTAGCTTAGCCTTTCAAAACTTTCAGCCTTTCGCCTCTTTGTATCCTTCTACTTTTAGTGTCCATTGAAAATTGACTAAATACTATTATACTGCTTATTACTGCTACTGTTATCATTACTTCCTTTATTATGACTCTTATTATTACTTCAATCTAACACTTTGCTGAATTTCCTTAAATTTCATTTCATTTTAATCAAATCTCAACTACATCGATCCAATCTAATTTAATCTAATCTCTCTCTCTCTCTACATATATATATGATTAAAAACTTATGATTATACTTACTTATATGACTTCATCATCTTTGTAATAATTCTCATAGTGTTGCGACTTTTTTTTTTTCATAGTAAACATTTACAAATAAAGATGTCATTTAACTAATTCGAATTACATACTTATAGTTTATACTTATTTTTTAAATTAAGTTCCAGAGAGAACTCGTTATACTGTGAAAAAAAATTCGGAACAAAAAAAAAAAGACAAAGAAAGGAAAGAAAAAATAATTCATAAACAAATGATTATAATGGCTAAAAAGAAAAAGAGGCGATTCATTATCTATGCTGATTATTTGAAAATTTTATATTTTCAGCAGATTATACTCTGGATAAATTGGATAGATGGTGTTTCCTAACATGTTGAATACTCACATCCGTATTCTATTGAAATATAATACAAGCTTTTGCATGGAAAAGAAATAAATACACTGCGAAAGTTAATTATAAACGCAATGCCTGGGTATAATCTAGCCTTATAATCATTGCAATTACTAAATCAGTCCATAATTAATGTTTTCAACGAAGAGGAAATTCAAGTTACTAGCATAAAATGATAAAAATTGTTGCATATAAATTAATATTTCACTTAAACTAGATTAAAAAAAAACCAATTATCAAATAAATTATGAAAATAAAGGATACATATGCTTAAAATCTCTATTTTAACATACCTGATTAATAGCAAATTTGAGTTTTCATGACATCCGGAAAAAAAAGAAAGAAAAGATGTAGGTCACAATAACCGTTTGATAATTTCCTTAAATTGTTCATAGAATCTCAATTGCACTGTGCTGAACATAAGATCTTCAAAATTATTTCCTATTATTAGTCTATGATAAATCATCAATACTTAATGTCAACATTAATGTTTAATTATGAAATCATATTTCCACAACTTCTCAAACAAGTGGAATAATTAAGTCACAGCAATATCATCAAAATTTTCATTTGGTTACAACACTTGAATGAAACAAAGATTTCATTTTCACATACAAATCACGTAAACAAGATTCCATTCAGTACAACAGTTTAAAAAAATTAACTTTAGAGAATTTTTGCAATCAGAGAAAATCATATAAATTCTTTTAAGCTCTATAATTTTTTAAAAATAATATGGATTAATTTTACTCAAATAAACTGTATATTTTTTCCAACAACAAAAATTCATATTTTCTAGTGAATTAAGTCTGTAGTTAACAATGTACAATATTGTACATATAGCGTTAATAACGCGACAAATTTTGGAAAAACACCTCCTGTGATTATTGTCTTTCGAACAATTCTCTGAAATCATCATCATATTAATAGAAACAACCAAAACTTATTCTAAATATAAAAGAAATACGGAGATTTAATCATCAATAGTTGTTGTACACTGAACGGTAATCATCGCTTAAATCTCAAGGCAACCTCTTCGCAGAAGGATTTTTTTTATAGCATTATCTTTCGAAAAGTATGTTCAAATGTCAACAAAATTTGAGGAATCAAATTAACGATGCTTTCTGGATGCATATATTAAACCTATATGAAAAAACAAGCAGTACAGAATAAATTGATTAGTATAAATATAAAAGACACAAAGTTTGTTGACATTTTCATCTTGTACAATGACTAACTAGAAAGCTCGAAACCGTTCTCACCGATTAAGGTAGAAATAGGTATATCCAGTGCCGTCTCTGTTGAGTATTTTATCTTTACTAACAGGTTCGATTTCGTCTTCATTACAGAATAACCAACATTTTGATGCATTACACCAAGCATCACATACATAGTGGCCTAAATGGAAATGTGATTCTCCTTTAAATTTCCTTTTTTTTTTTTGCTCTTGGCTTTTCTGTCTTGTCAAGTGTGAAGAAAATCAGAAATATAAGTCGAAACCAAATCTTTATATCAGTTTAACTTAAATAGGGAAAGATACTTTAAATATGTGTTTAAAGGTCTTAAAGATTCAAAATACCACTGTTTGTTTCTTTTCCCAAATAACTGATAACAGATACAAGTCGATATGACATCCGCGTGTTATCTTCCTTAAAACAAGCTTATCATTTGTGCACATCATATAATGCACCTTTTGTGATTACACAGCACACATTTGTCAGTAGGAGAAAAAAACTCATTTAAAAAACTTACATGAGCACTAGCAGCTGTATCAAAAAGACCCTTATCGCTATCGTCATGAACTTTTTCATCATAAATTAAAATATCTGGACTAAGAAAATACAGAGAGATTGCGATAGCGATATGATAAATTCCCACAAATTTTTTATCTGATATGGAATTCTACTATAAAAATATAGTAAACTTCAGGACAATACATCGTAATATTTTCATCACAAAAATTTATGGCTACTATTTTACTCGAAAAACCACTTGAAAAGCGTTGATTTTATAAACAAAGGAATTTACCTTTGCTGAAAATATTCTTGCATAAAACTGGTATCACTGATATCAATTGAGCGGTTGAATTTGCTAAGGAAGATTTTATTCTAAATTTAACTTTTCATCATGATATGCCATGAAGCCTCACAAACTACTTAGTGTTGCTAAAAACTTCGTAAACAATTTGTAATTTTTCTCCTAAAAAATCAAGCAAAATTATAACACAGAAATTTTGGTTTGCACTGAAGGCACAAGCACTGGAGAAAATAGACATTCTTCGTACTTCAGATAGACACCCTCCTTTTCACCAAAGCGATAGTCTCAAATACTTATCTCTAAAAAATTTTAATACAAATCAACTGAAGAAATCCAAAAAAGACTGATGAAGAAAAACATGAGAAATTATACCCTGCATCCAGAAAACTTGAAACCTAAACAAAAATCGGAAGAAATTTAAATTTCGTCATATTTCTATATATCTATTATCATCACATCCTGAACGCTTAATCGAACATTTTCTTTCGGTTCGGAAACTTGTGAAGAAAGAATCTGGGTTTAGGAGTTTTCGTATTAAGGCAAATATATATATATATATATATAATTTTTGAACTTCCAAAGCGCAAAATAAGCATAAACGGGTTTACAGTAGCTTACTTTCGTTATTATTTGCCGAGAACTTCGATCTATAACAAAGCCATTGTTTCTTGTGAAAAATCCAAACATCAATAGAAAACATCGCTGCGAAAAGCATGAATTTCCAATTCAGCTCCTATGCCAGTTTCTGCTAATATACTTATATGACAAGTCCAGCTGTCATTTGTCCAATTTTTTATAGCGATGAATTCATCTAGATGCTCCAACTCAAAGATAATAATCTGCAACAAAAGAAATTATTAACTACTTCCAATTATTGGACAATTTTTGAAACTTTTGACAATCTTTTTGAAACTAAAAATAAAGAACAAAAATATCATTTTTTTTTTCAGATCAAAACTAAAATTACAGATTCCTGCAGCACACAATAATCATTCTCAGCACCAGCAACTTAATATGCCAGTGACTAGAACAAGGAATTCCAGCTTCCTTTCATGTCTATCAAATGGAAAAAGTTCATCTGCAACATCCATTTCGAGAACTGGAGACTGAGTCTTGAAATTTATTGCTAATCCAGCGCATTCAAATCAGTGAACCCATAAACCAGTCTGAATAGCCGTAGTGATATGGAAGCGATAATAATAAGTGGTACATTAATTATGACATTAAGAGGCATAACCGTGCAATCATCGCACCAAGTATTGGTGTTAGGAAAATAGATTCCCTATTAAAGTTCAAAAACATGCTCAAACTTGAAACAGAAACTTACAACCAGTCATTGGCAAACATTAAGCCAATATATTCACAAATCGTCCTCCACAATTCAGCGGCTTATAGGAATCGTTTGCCCTCCAAACTCGATTTTCCAGGTAATAATTTTATAAACTTATCACTAATGAATCTTTGACTGTTCACGGCTTGATTCACCGTTTACACTTGCTAAAATCAAAAGTATGGAAGATATTATCATTTTGAAATTTCGATTTCAAACTCTACTTCACCACAGAAATTCTCAAACTCATTGCTTAGTGCAATAAGAGCCAACTGATTTCGCTTCAGTTCTCGCTAGATTTGTGATTATCGTCTAGGAGATGGCATATCAAACTCACAAATTATCTGACATCCAATGTTGCTCAGATTTTCTCATAATTCTACCACATATTTAATTTGAATTCAAACTTACTCCATTTATACCTTGAAGATCGTCACTGACACTGTTCCCTTCCGATGATTCTTCGTCCGAGTTTCCAGTTATTTTTACATCAAAATCCATATTCGCAGCTGGCAATGGTTTGATTAGCACTTTCGAATCCTTGCCATCAATTGGAGACTTAATTGATAAAGCATAACTAGTCTGGCTGCTGTCGTGGAACATTTGTCTTCTTGAATCAAATTCGGACAAATATTAGTTAATAAAGATTTAGGTGGCATCATGGGATGCTCGGATTCTGTTAAAAGAGAGGTGATTATCAAGGGGAAACGACTTCGTTACAGAATAATAAAGATAACATATTTTAAAAGCTTAACTTATCTAAGGATATGATTTCTGTTTCATTCATCGCCTGCTTAAACTCCGGTAACTGATTATCACTAACGACAGAAGTATGTCCGTCAGGGTAAGTCCCTATATATTTGGTGTGGTGTGATAGTTCTAGTGGTGTTGCAGGTCTGCTCCTTATTAAGCATTTTTCTCGTCCGAGTCGCTCTGAATTCAAGCAGTTTTAACTAAGTAATCTTGAAAAGTCCAAAAAAGAAACTGACAAATTGGAAAGCCTACAAGAAATGGACTAAAATGTTATTTATTGCAGACTATAATTTTTCAAGACTATAATTTTCGAACCTTATCATCTGTATTTTCCGAAGCTGTGCATACATTATCAGGACAAAACTTCGGTTTCGCGGTCCATTTGTTCGTTGTTTTTTTTTTACAACAACCACTAGTGATATATATATATATATTTTCATCACTTTATTCGTGCGCTCGCACAAGGATGATTTTTAGAAGGTTCATATGGCCGGTTCATACCTTCACCTTTAATTCTAAGAATATTCCGGTTATTTCTTTGTATTATTTTCTCACTTGCATCAATCTTCCTAGAGTATTAATTTCAACCTTATTTTCATGTTTACATTTAATTATTTCTTTTCCATCATTGGAATCAGTTAGACCATCAAATTCTCTTCTCTTATTTTCAAATTTCTCTAGGTTTTTTGCTCTAATGTTGAGATATGCATTAGCAAATGAGAACGGTAGTTTCTGGATGGTCACTTCATCCACGTTATGTTCGCTTTCTTTCTTTTTAAACCACTGTAAGAAATGTACCACTGCTATGTCCATTTCCAAATCTTCCTCAGTATCAGAAGACTGGCTCATCACTTTATCTGCACATTGCATACAGAATTTCTGAAATGCGTTCAGGATTTCTTCTTAAAAATACCTGAAATATCTTCTTAGAGCTTGCAATTGCTGCAAATCTTATTGACAATCGCGGCAAAGAAAGTTAAACGTCTTTATCGTTTTCCTGTAATGTTCTCACAGAAGTTCCAATGTCATTTTGAAGAAGTCTTAACTGATCAGCAATGCTACGTTCATAAGCCTACAAATTAACCATATTTTTATCCAAATCACGGATGGTTTCTTTCTGAACAATGCATTATAGTATGCAACTTTTTAAGAAGGTTAACCAACTGCCATAATTTGTTCTTCAGTCATAAGTAAAGATCCTCATCCGTATATAGATTCTTTGTGATTGAAGATTTTCAAAACTTAAAGTGAAATAGAATCTATTAATTCATTAAAAATTATAATCCAAATGACAAAACTAATCATCTTTCATATTAACTTACTCATGCTTAACACTTGGTTAAATGAGTATTTGTAAAGCAAATCCAGATAATAATAGTACTTCAATATATTACCATCAACATTTTTCTATCCCAAGTGCAAACAACACATAGATTGTTGTTTCACTAGAAAGTGATAGGTAAATGTGAATTAGGAATGTTGAAAGGAGAGATTGGTGACTGCAGCTAGACATAGAAATCTTTAAGAGTAATATCGATTAGTGAAACTAAAGCATAAAAAGCTAACAGCCCTAAACTTGAAAAAGTAATTCTAAAGAGATACCATGGTAGATTTGGATGTCTCTGATCAAAAAAGGAATTATGTAATCTTTGTTCTTGTGGCGTCGGTTTTGATCTTAAAATAGATCCTGGCTGAACAGGCTCTCTATCATCCTGAAAAACCAATTTCCATTAGATAAATTAGATTTCCGGTACACTATGTCCAAAAACGGCGAAATATACCTCTAAGAAGTTTTGAATTCTAAACCATCAATTTGATTAATTTAAGTGCCTCAATCTTTCCATCCTTTTCAGTTGATGTATATTTTCCTATAAATATCGGTTGAAAAAAAAAAAATCGAACTTACTGGTGTGAGAACATTGATTTTTGGCCTTAACTGGGCAAAATAATTCTGTCGAAGTTATACATTGAACACAAAATCTCTGTACAGCAGTAGGTTGCAGCGATTTTTCACCACTGTCGGTAATGTCAAAAAATGCAGTTGATTTGCATGGAGCTAAACCTGGGTATAAAAAAAAATTAAGGAATAAAGTTTTTCCGGTTTTAAAACACTTTCACTGTGTGTTCTAGCACTTCACATCTTTAATTCACAACGCTCGTTAAAGATGCTTTACCTTTATTGGTCCTAATTTTTTAAGTTCAAATTCCTGTTCACAGCCTTTATTTACCTGCAGGTAGTTTCTCGCTTATATTAACTTCTTTCACTCCTTTTGCTTCGTGACTTTCAGTTACCCGTGAAATGCTAGCTACATCATTCAGATCAGTTGCAATGGCTTTTGGATCGTTCTTCTTGCTAGGCTGTGCATCTGATAGCTTATACCATTATAATTTACCGGTATTTTTATCCCTGAAGTGTTTTACAGCTCTTCATTAACTTTTTTTTCCACATTTTTTTAATTTTAATGAAGTTTTTTTTCTCATTTTAATAGTTAAACCACGTTTACATACTATAGTGGTTAAGTCCTTTCATGCAGAAAAGTAATGATTTAAAAACATGGATCAGTGATTTTCAGCTTTATACCGAAGGAATAACAGATAATGAAGCCTATTATCTGTGAAATGTATCAGAGAAAAGAAATCACATTACCCTAGAAGCTGCTAACACTCATTCAAATGAAAAAAAAAAAAAAAGAATCCAAAAAAGTACCACTGTTCTTCCGAAAAACTGTTTGAATTAACAGACTTTTCCTGATTCTTCGCTAGCTTTATTTTTATTGATGCTTTATTGGAAGCTCACTTGTGGAATTTCGAATCGCATTCTAAAATATTAATTAAATATTTTGTCTACAATCGTCGTCATTGCTGCTTCCATCACGAATACATCAAGAAAAAACTTTTTGCCTACACAAAGATGAAAGGAAATAAGACATCTACGTTGGATAAAGTAGAAATTTTTGATTGAGCGTAATCGTGATCGAGAACATTGTTGCGTGGAATAGGCATGGGACGCACGAGGGAATTGTTCAAGTTCTTGTCTTGAGGAACTGAAATCAAGAATTCCTTCACTGCTTACTTCTAACGAAAATAAAATCAACAGTCAACAAATTCCATACTGTTTGTATACAATTCTTGCTTATAACCTGAACGGAATATGATCAAACGAAGTGACGAAAAGGTTTAAAACAACAAAATAAAAAAGAGAGAAGTGCTTATTTATAAATTATCTTTATCTGTTTTTGATTGCTGATCGAGTTTATTGCAGGTTGTTGGAAAGAAAGATTTCTTTGAAGCAACTTTATCATCAACCTTTAAAGCCCATCATCTTTTATATGAATTTCTTGAATAACCTCCTTTAATAAATGCAAAAATTGCTAATATTATTGAAAACAAAAAATTTCATTGATGACCACTTAGTTCGAAGTTAACATAATGAAAGAGCGCATATAAAATTTTGTCGACACAGAATAAACGTTTGGTCCTGATAACTATCATATTAATACTACGTAGTTGTTCATGTCAAAATTTGGCAGTCTGTAGGAAAAAGATGACGTACAACTTTCAGCAAAAAAAAAAAACTATTTGAAAGCAATTCATCCAAAAGTAAAGTTATGTTTTTACGCGAAAAACAAAAGTATATTCAAATTTAATCATTACATACCTAATGTATTAGCTAAAAGTAGATAATAAACCAATACAAAAGAACAAATAAACAAAATAATCATAATACTTTAAACCAAGATTAAAACCAACTATGGATACACAAAAAATAAAAAAATAACCAACACCTAAAGATATCAAACATATAACCAGCAATAAAAAAATAAAACAAAATTAGAAGAACCAAACAACAATAAAAGTTCCAAAAAAAAAAAAAAGTTAAACTTAGACAAACATGAAACCAGCATTTATATCTAATCCTGAGTCTTGTCATGTGTGAAATATCTCCAGGTAATTTTGTAACGCTAGCTATTATCAGGTGCTGAACGTTACAGGTCTAAATGTTTGATTTCCCATACCTTTAATTGTCAGAAAAGGTCCAATTTGTCAGCAAAAAAAGAAGAATTCCATTAGGTCCACATTTAATACATTTATAAGCAGATGATCATATTGCTCCTTCTCAGGACAAAAGTTCTCATTATTAGTTCTTTTCCAAATTGCTTCCTTTCAGCAAATCATCATTATTAATTAAAAATATTGTAGAAGAATTTAAAATTATATAAGCTCAAATTTTACCAATTATAAATAAGAAAATAATGATGACAAAAATAAAGCGAACATTTTATACACTTTCAAATATGGTTGCAAATGATAACATTAGCCGGGAAGCATTCAAGTGATAAAATTCAGTTCAATTTTCAGTGAAATAATTGCTAAGAAATTTTTTGCAAATGTTACTGAAAAAATTTTAGAAGATAATAAGGACAACTTACAACAACAAATCCATTAAGCGATTATTTGCAAACCTGCAAAAAGAAAAAATCATCGATATTCTATTTAACCTATTTTTCTTAATCATCAAAATATGGATGAACGATTACGATACTAACGCTGATACGTTATAAAGCTGCACTTTTTTAAAAAGAAAGATCAAAATAAATAGCACTTCTTTTTCTTAATGTAAAATATTACAGGAATTATCTCTAATCATTTTTAAAACTCCTTTGAATCTATTTTTCCTTCCAAAATCAACTAATGGCATCATTATAATATATTTCGTTAAATTTCATCACATAGAAAAAACAATCCAAAAATTACCGGAGAAAATTTTATGCATTTAGAACGGGCAATTTAAAACTCAACATGAGCTTCTAATTTTCCTCTTCCAGTTTTCTTTTCTCACCTTTAAGTTGCATTATTCTGAGAACATCCAGCACAAAACTTCCAATCGCTCTGCCCGATTTTTATTATCATAATTTAAAAGACTTATTTTGAGCATCTTGGAAGTCTCGAAATCGACGTTCCTTAAACGGGAACTTGTAGTTCTAAACAATTTTTCATCACCTTGGAAACACTTCAGAAAAAAACGCTTCTAGAAATAGCATACTTACCTGGCAGTAGGAGACAAAGGTGGAAACGATTCTAATTCACTGACCAGATCTTGATTTAAGCAGAATTCCAATTTCATTGTCGCGCTTTACAGCTGCACTTGTGTTGAAAGAATAGCGTTTGACAAACATGTTCAAACATCTGAAACAATTAACAATTAGTACATTTAGAACATTAGTGAAAATAATTAATACAGAAAACAATTGGTAAAAATTAGCAAGAAAGCACAAGACAAAGTTTAAATACTATTATCATTAACAAGGAAAGTGAAAAAGTTATCTCGGAATTCGTGTAAATTGCTGGCTTTTATTCGCACTATTACATCCGCACAAATCACATTTTTTGTCAACTACTTTTAGATCATAAATTGTCATTTAACAAATCTTGTACTGTAATTGATAACCTAAAGATAAAAAATTTACTTTTTTTTTTTTTCTTTAAATCTTCCCGAAGAGTGAATCTTTTTTTAAACACTACCACAAGACGTTCTCACTTTAATCTTGTCGAGGAGAAATGTTTGAGAAATAAACACTTACTTACCAGGAATCATTTTGGTCCATCATTTGGATAGAAATCGGTAAAATAATGCTTTCTTCTTTGTTATTCGTAACTGCTTCACATCTGAATTAATTTTCTCATTTGAACAATTGATCCGAATCAGCAATGTTTAATAGATATTTATTTTGCTTATTGCCAACTATAATTGATGATGGATATTGAAGGCATAGATAACAACTCACTGATCTATTAAAGAAATCAAGAGAACCTCCTGCATCTTATCATAGATTCTATAACAAATGCAAAATTTGATGTAATTGGATTTCATTTATTTCTTTCCTGCTGATAATCAATATTGTGTTGTTCACGCAATATTTTCTCACATCCTTCTTGCATCATATTCAAAATGTTTGTAAGGAATTCTTGTGCATCCTGCAATTAAGAAAATTTCCAACAAAAATTTACATTTAATTGGTCGACAAAGTCAAGCTGTACAAGATAAAAATGTTGTCATGTAAAAAAAAAACAGCTCATTTCGTGCCTGCATATACATAACACTAGGAAATCTTCCCTTCTGTTTATAAGAATAAGTAGAAAAACCACCAAACAGTTATTAAAAACTCAAACAAAACGACTTGAAATTGAAAGTAAAAATATCCAAATATAATCACTTCAAAATAATTTGTGCAAATTAAAGGATAACCTGTTGCTCATCATTCCAGAAATCTAAATTTGACATATCTTTGATCATTTCTAGAAGAGCCATCTTCAAACTGTTTGATGTACAGTGACGCTGGCTTGCAAGACTGGCAACTGCTCTGAACAATTTATTATACTCATGAGAACAGAAAAAAAGAAGATATTCCGTAAATTAGAATTTACGTGTTTTTTAACATTTGCTGCAGTACTGATGCAAAGACGTAAAAAAGAAATTGTTATCAGTGCTTTTTGTATTGTTCACATTAATCCAAAAGAGAATCTTAATACCATATATATATGTTATATAGGAAATATTCGCTTCAGAAATTCAGTACAGAAGTATTGAATCTGAATATTTTGTTTACTCCGATTCGTCAAATCAAATGATCTTACAATGGAAACCGCTTTGTTTTTTTTTACGAAACCAAAAGTAAGAAATAAAGAGAAGAAAAAGAAATTAGAAAAGTTAAAGCTACTTGCTAACAAACTCTTTGTAACTGCAAGGTTGTTATCAAAGAAGAAAGCAATGCATACAAGCATAACGGCATTTCGTCATCGAAATCCAAGCCAAGCTCTTCGACCATTTTACAAACTTTGAAAAGGTCTTTTGCAATTGAAAAGCATATAACACGTGCTACCAAGATTCGCGAATCTATAGCAAAACAAAAATATTCAACTGATGTTTTAAATTATCAGAAAATGATAAAAAAGAACACAAAAGCGGAAGAATAAAACTATCATTTACATACCCAAATGTCTCCACATTATCAGTTGTCAAAGCTTTAATGTGGTCATTGCCACGACGACCCTATAATAAAGCATTTACAAGAGATCAAAACACAAGTTATTCAATGATTGTCTCAAAATAATCTCCATAACGTATTCTTGAAATTCTACCTACATTGGTTTTAAGCATCAAATAGTCCATTTAGAAGTTTCAAAAAACAAAAAAGCAATGATGAAGACATACTGCATTACCGTTCATGGAAACATCACTAGAAAGTTTTCTTTCTCTTCAAACTTTGATATTTTTTAATAAGGGCTTGCTAAATTTATTCCACGCGTCGTGGTGAAATTTGTTGATCTGGAAAGAATAAAAAATCAACGAATCTAAAATTAGATTAAAAAGTAAAAATTTATGCAGGAACGACTCACATACCGAATTAAAGGATTATCAATTTGCAAGGAACCATGTGCAATACCAATCAATGGATTAGATAACTTGGGTCGCTTTGCTGTAGATTCCAATACAGAATCTAATGTGAGTTGGTCAAAGCTTTTCTTAACTAAAACAAAGATTTACAAGCAATTAGCAGGTGTTGCACGATTCCATATGGATTTTAGTTCTCTTTTTTGGCAAATTTTAAAGTCTGAATGTAAATTATAAGCATGCTAAAGTAAAAACTTGATTTATTCATAAATAAAAGAATAATGTAGAAAACGAACTACTTTCAACATCTGCTGAGTCAGCTTCTTGTTGATTTCTAGTGATACTGAAAATTTAGGAAAAAAATATTTCACCCTTCTTTAATAAGAGCCGATTATCTATTTATATAACTGTTTCCTACTTTAACTTATCTTCTTACAACGTTTATTATCGTCGTTCACGTTGTGCTATCAGTAGAACTGGTCGAATTGATTTTTACTGTTTCCCTTCTTCACTTTTCTTCTTAATCCTTGAATTGTCGTTGAGTGTTGTAACTGTCGTCTTGATTGTACGTCGTCGTTTTACCAGAATATTGTTTTTATCGTTGTCTTTCTCCACCTGCTGAATTTCTCTTCGTCGAAATTCACGTAGTTTAATACTCAACTTGCGTAATAAAACCTCAGTTGTTGTCGATTGTTTTCCGCACTTCAAACTTGGTTAATTAAACCTGTTACTCGTTTGTCGCCGTTAGTCACGAAAGATTATCCATCTATCAGTTAAAATGTCCTATGAACGTGTCGTCCTATTGGTGTCCTAAGAGCGAATCCCTCTTTGCTCATGCTCCTAACCGTTTCCCTCTAACGCGACCTAAGCTCGCCCTAATACCACCATCCCTCAACTCGTCGACCCAATGTAAATTCTGTAATGAGAAATTGCTCTGCTTATATCGCTGAGAATTCTTCTTTGTTGTTGAGATCAAATATCCATTTTTTCTCTTCTTTTTTGTATGTTTATTATCCCATTGCGCTTTTCCCATCGCTACGTTGCTGTTAGGTTGACTCCTTTGTTAGCTCCTTCCCTGTATCCTTTGTTAATAATAAGATCTTATATCCACTATATACAATCCCTCTTTTTATTTTTTAGTTACTGTAATAGTATGTTCGGCCTATTTGCCGACAGAAAACATGAAATCTTGAAACAAGTTTCAAATAATTGATTGTCATTATCTAGCATATGTTCTGCAAATGCATCCAGAAGAACAGCTATACATGGGATGCATTGAAGAGATTCACAACACTGTTTAATTAACATTACCGATAATAAACGAATATATTTGAAAAAGTATAATTCGGTTAGCAGATTTTTTTACTAAAATCTAGAATAAATCACGAGAAGCATTATTGCACAAATTCGTCCCAAAAATCTCGATCACATTCCGGTAAGTTTTCTATCGAGAACTGATTGTAATCTGGTTAAAAAAATCATTCGGATAAATTTGTACAGGCAAATTATTAAATAAATTGTGTGTTAATCAGAAATATTTGAACGAAGTGAAAATAATCTGCAAACTATTGCCATATTATATCCCTGAATAATTTGGATATTTTTAACGCCCAGTATAAAGAAGATACACATATCATGTCCTACAATGTTAACAAATGAAAATTTTTGGAACAGAAATAGAAAAAAGGAACAGAAACTTTACCGAAGCATTATATAGTTTCTAATAGTTTATGCATTTTCATCATGCGATCTTAAAATCCAATGAAAAACGTTGTTTGTGCCATGCAAGGGAAGTTTGAGATGGTTTTAAAAGATGTAACCTGCAATGTATGCGTACATTTGGTGAATCTATAGAATGAAATGAATTCCAGAATACTCTTAAAATCTTGGTAGTTTATTATAGTTGATTCTATTCGTAAGACTTACCAAGCGCCAACTGCAAAAACAATTTCTCGTCGCTTTTCATTCACTGTCTAAATACCTGTCCTTTGGAAGAGAAACGTGTCCGCCGACCCATAGAGTACCTCAAAATTCATATGAAATTATCCAGCTTAAATAAAATCGGGATGAAAAATCACGAATACCGCTGATATTACTAATAAATCTATGCATAACAACTTGGTGAAAATTTGACCGCAACATTATTACAGTACAAGTATCATAACTCTTTTTATTATAGTGAAACTCAGCAGATAATAATGATTGCAATTGTTTCATGCTGTAACACTGCTGGAAAGTAAAGAAAAAACGTTAAAAAAAAGACAAAATTATCTAATTTAACATTCAAAAAAGGAATCAAGAAATTGGAAAAAATGCGATAAGACAACCTGAATTTTGAATTGACCAAGCTTCAAAATCATCATTTTCATATCACCATTCTTTTCATGATACATATCCTGAAAAACTTTGCTTTTCAATGATAATTTTTTTATTATAAGCTAGCAAATAATTGTAAATAAATCGAGGATGATAAAATAAGGTTTCCCAGCCAATTACCTCGTCAGAAAATCCTTTAGCGCCATTTGGCGTTATCTACTTAAATCTGGAGCAAGCAAGCTGAAAAGGTCAGGTTAATCATTCAAAGATAGCATCAGTGATAGTAAAGTTACCGCAAGAACTTCCCTCACGAAACTGCCCCACCTCCTCGCCAACAAAACAGCAGCTGGCAACGGTTCAAATTTCGCGCTTTACCTAAAAATTCCGTGGCTTTTTACGGGAGATTGCAGGACTAGATACAAACGAGCCTATTTTTCTAGCAATCTTACGAGTCGCACGTCTCTTATCCCTAAATCCAGCGCAAAATGCTAGCGTTTCTTGGACCGTTGCTTCCCTCTCCCTACAGTAATTTGGTAACATTTGCGCTGCAGTCATCCTAAATCTAGAATCCTGGGACGAATAATAGAGGCATGATTTTGTTTTCATAAGTAGATTAAGCTACTGTGCTACACTATTCTGGAAAGTTCCAAGACATTTCGGAAAATAGCGCTTGAAGAAGAAAAACACTTTGGAAAAAAGCGCCTGAAGAAGATAGACAATTATCTAGACATATTTCACGCTTTTTCCTCTGACTTATAACTATGATAATGAAATTCTTTTAATGTACGCATTGTAAAAATATATCATCGACTCAGCTAAGTGGACGATTTGCTGAAGATAAGAAACGTATAAACGTCTTAGCAGATCATACAGTACAAGGTGAAGGTGGTAAAAAAAGCGCAATGGAGAAGGTAAAATTGTTCGATTAAAATAAAAACTCAGATGATTAAAATGGTAAATAATAGAGAGGAGATATTTAGAGAAAAATAAGTAATAAGGCAGGTTGAATTACAACGACCAGAACAAGATACTTAATAAATGTTACTGCTACACTCAGGATGAAGTCGAAGGGCTACTACAGCTACTACAGGCTACAGGTAATTGTTCAATTGGAATATACTTTTGTTGAATTATTTCAAACAATTTCTATGCTACAATTATATATCACTTTTTTTTTTTTCTTTCAGAGATTCAGCCAAATTATGATATAAGCATGATTAATAACATAGCAATGATTTGGATGGAACGCTTGCTCAATCTTTGCGTACGCTAGAAACGGCAAAAACGAATGGAAACGAAATTTGTCAAATGTAAGACTTTCTCAAAAAGAGGTACAGCAAATAAAGTGGAGGGTATTAATAGGCAGTGGATGCATTAGTATCCACAAGAATTAAAACAGAGATGCAATTACAGTAATGCGTAGTTGCAACAGCTGCGTAAGAGTGAATGCCAATATGCGAAAGTATACATTGGTCACCACAGTGGCACAGGAGTTAAAAAAAAGTTGATAAAAGACAACATACAATAAGAGGCTACAAAAATTAAAAGGTGGATGCAAACGTAGTAATGAATATATAAAGTATGTATCAATAAGGTTTAACGTTGAACTTCCTTGTACACCAATATTTAGAGGAAATTATCACTATTTGTTTCACGTGGAGGAATACGCAGACGAGAATTTATATTCGATATGTTCATATGTGTGTCATCAAATCATTTAAAAGTTGTCAGTTAAACCCGTTTCGCTCAAATTACCCGCAAATATGCTGTGATCATTGCATTGTTTAATTTCAGCACTCTAATGTAGTTTCACTTTTTCTAAAATTATGTAGAGTTTGTTTTCAATTCTTGAATAATCAGATAGCGTATGATAGACTGATATCTTGGTTAAAATGGAAGTGTAAAAAAGACCGTGTCAGCTTGTCGAAATTGATTTAAGAAAAAGAAATGAATTTTTTTTGCGTTTAAAAATTTCCAGGCAGCATTATTTTCAATTCTTCCCTTACAATAGTCACTTGAATTTTCTTACTACCACAGCCAATTCTGCTTATGTGTCTACTCAAAAGTGAATGTTTACGACAAAAAGATCATAGTATCTTCATTTCTTGCCTATCTTTTCGTATTTCCCATTTTTTAAATATTAGTAGGTAGGTAGGGACAGAAATTAGAATATTTAAGTTGAGGACTTTCCAAGCAAAACAATAAGCATAATAAATAAATTTGTTGATTTAGTCGATTAAAATAGTTTACTTTATGTACTTCAGAATGCTGGAAATTTTTGATTGGAAAATGTGTTCCT